CAAGAAAATAATATAAGAATGAGTACAATGTAAGACACACCATTTAAACATGAAATGACGTTAACAAAAAGGATATCCCAAAGACTTGTATCCAGTGAAGTGGACGCTCCCATTTTTCCAGTTATGAGATAGCTCAAATTTCTGATCAAACACAATATCAAACATTAACTGCGGGTATTTATCAGCAGAAAGAAATCCAAGGGTAAGCTTCTGATCGCCAATTTTCGCAAAGAGTGAAATAGGATCGCTTCCCTTCGCTTTCTTAAGGTCATCAAGACAACCCTGCATTACGAAAATAATTGTTACACCAACTTTCGCAATATATTAAAGGCAAAAGAAACAGAAAAATGAAAAATTAATGGTCACAAAATTTTACAGCTCACTGAGTACCTGTGAAAGGTGCAGGAGCTTTTTACCAGGTTCAACAACAAGAGACTGACCACTTTTTACCTCAGCACCTGGACATTGAGTCACAATAAGTAGTAATTAATAACTGCAAATTTGAAAGCACAGAAAATGAAAAAGGGATGGAAACTGATGTCGCACAAGTTTCAGAATGAATACAAGACATCAAAGTTCTGTTTCAAAGAGTGAAAACCGTATCATTTAGTGACAAACATGCCGAACACGAAAAAGATGCCTATTTTCCAAAAAAAAGTACAAATCAAAATCATTTAAATGCAAGCTTGTGTACTTATCAATGCCGCATTTATAATATATTAAAATTAAACGCAAACGAGATTCCTGAATCACATCAACCCGATGCAAAAACAATTATGGAAAAAACACAAACGAGATTCCTAAACAGATAACAAAGCATCCTTAACATATATCACATACAATTGTATTCACCATAAGCACATTACATTGGTTCAAAACGAAATACAATGATTATAATTTCGTTACCATAACATCTCCAACATGTACAAAGAATTAACACGAACGTGCATTCACAAGACTAAACATATTTTCCATTTATTTTCTCGGCAAACAAACAGAGTGAAATAAGTTCTAAATAAGCAACATGAAGCCAGAAAAATACTTATCAAATATTTTATAAAGAAAAAAAAGCTAAAAACTGTCACATTTTGGCCCGGACCCCATCACATCCCGAGCTTGACTCCGCTGTAGCACGATATTGTTCGCTTTGGACCCCGACCACGTTCTCACAGTTTTGCTTCTAAGAACTCACACGAAAACTTCTCAGTGGATCACTCATCATGGGATTGCTCTCGCGCGAACACGCTTAACTTCGAAGTTCCAATGAAACTCGAAGCTAATGAGCTCTCAAAAGGCGTCTTGTTAGGTAGAGATGTGAATATATATACAAAGCTTACAAGATGTACTCTCCTAGGCAATGTGTGATGTTACAATCCACCCCGTAGGGACATGATGTTCTTGTCGGCATACTTCCGGCCAGAGATTGACTTTGATACCAAATTGCCACATTCTAGCCGGACCCCCACCACATCCCAGACTCCTAGACTCAATTTCACCGTAGCACGATCCTATCCATTTTGGGCCCCGATCACGCTCTCATGATTTTGTTTCTGAAAACTCACTCAAGAACTTCACAGTGGTTTACCCATCATGGCATTGTTCCCGCGCGAACTCATTTTACTTCGGAGTTCCGATGAAACTCGAAGCTAATGAGCTTCCAAAAGGCCTCGTATTAGATAAAAATGGGAATATACGTATAAGGATCCACTCCTAAGAGATGTGGAATGTTACAAAAACCCTAAGTCAAGCTCAACGAAAATTTAACCAGACTAGTCCTTCCATTTTCCCTAGTTTTCTCGGCAATCAAACAGCAAAAATGTTTCGAATAACCCTAACAAATCAACAATCAGACAAATAATATTTTCAGTTATTTTCTCAGCAAACCAGCACAGTAATTAATTTCTAAATGAAGAACATGGAGCCAGAAAAAATACTAGAATAAAAAATAATTTTTAAAAAAATATATAAGAAAAAAAGGCTAAAAATCCTAACTCAAGCGCTACAAACTTCCGACGAGCTTATACCCACAGCATCAAAACTTAACCAGACTAGAACCCTCATTTCCTCGAATTTTCTCGGCAACCAAACGGCGAAAATGTTAGAAATAAAAATGCAAAATTAGCAACGAGAAAACAAAACCCCGACAAATCAAACGATCAGGGTGAGAGAAGGGTTTTCAAAATTACAGAGAGAGAGAGAGGAATACCCCAAAACTCCATTGCTTGCAAGTGCTAGGTTTTCTAGAAGGCTCTGCAGAATTTCAATTTCGAATTCTCGGTTTCTTTTTTGGTGACAATTTATATGAGAGAGGAACGAGGCGGATCATTTTATATGGAGTCTCCACAGTGCGACACAGAGTGAGGAAGTGACACGTGTCAATAGGCGCACTCCCGCTCGGTTGGGCAGCCCAGAAGGTGTCTTTTGGACATCCAGTTTCTTTGACAAATCAGGCCCAAAATCTAACAAGAAGCAACCCAAGAGCCCAAGCAGATATATTTGGCAGCCTCACTAATAAATTTAAGGAAAACTAATAAAAATAACTTGAAAAGTTTTAGTTTTAATAAAAAATCATGTTATAAGTTTTGTTTAATGATTAGTAAAAAGCCCATATTAAAGTAGTCCAACTAAAAATGACCCAACTTTAATAAATTATGATTTGTCGATTTTACCCCTAACTTTTTTAGGTTGAGTTCCAGATTTTCGTCGTTAATGGAGTTCATCGTTGTTTTGCAGACCTTCTTCTTTTTCTTTGAAACAAAAATATAGATCCTCATGCTATTTAATTTATATTTTGTATAATTTCGTTGCAATGTGATTGTCATTATTATTCATAGTGTATTCGAGATACTGTTTTTCAATTTTTCTTCGTCGGTGGAGTTCATCGTTTGTTTCTCTAAAAAATAAATTTGAGATATGCACACTATTCAATAATAACAAGGAGTCATTGTTTCTGGATCCAAATGAAATAAACACATTGTTTCTTAAATGTAAGCTAGAAAATAAATAGTGAAATTCACTATATTTGGACTTAAATCAAAATAAGCATATTGTTTCTTAAATATAATCAATTGATGCATAAAATAAAAGAAACAGTCAATGGTTAAAACATAGCCTGTTTCTGGAATATAAGTACTGTTTCTGAAATTTAAGTCACTATTTCTAGAATTTAAGTCACTGTTTCTGTATTTTGGTTCTTTTCTTTCCAGATACAATGTTTGTTTTGTGCATAGGCAAAACAAACACTATATATGATTTTTTTTCCATAAACAGTGTTATGTTTTGGTTTTTTTTTTTCAGACACTTTTTCGCCGATTTCTGCCATTAAACTTCTTTGAACTTGTTTCGGTGACTTTGTTCTGATGAATGCTTCCTTTTTGAACTTTAATTTGGTTGTTTTTGAAATGGGGGAATTCGATTTGATAGGAAGATAAGGAGTTATTATGGCGGTTTCGTGTTGGGTTGGGGTTGGTGAAGAGTTAGGACAATATCGAATCATTTAGGGGTATTTACGGAAGTGTAGATTTGTAGTGGGTTGTGCTTGTAAGTTTGACGCGTAGACAATAGTTTTGGATGATTTTTTATTAAATTTTGAGCCCTTTTGGTTAAATAATATTTTGGGATGATTTTTGGTTAAATATTTGTTGGCCCAAACCCTGTTCATTAAAGCTCCCATAAATTTACGGAAAAAAATGATTTCCCCACACTTATTTACTGCTTTGGCTCTTATTTTTTTCTTTATGTCTTAATCATATATTTATTTTTTTTAAATTTAGAGATCACAAATAAAAAGAAATGTGTAAATATAGAAAATTGTATTCAATTGAGATTCTGAGAGAGTTTCAGGGAATTAATAATTCTAGGGGTATTCAATTAGGAATTTAAAAGAATTCATAAAAGTTTAGGTGTATTCAATTGAGAATTCTAAACACTTTTTAAAAGTCTCTAGAAATATAGGTGTATTCAATTGAGATTTCTAGAGACTTTTTAAAAATTCCTATAAATCTAGGTGTATTCAATTGTGATTTTTTCAAAGTCTCTAAAAATTTAGGTGTATTGGAAAACGAATTGAATTTGAAGGAATTTGTGAATTGGTGGATTTTGGAGGATTTCAAGGTGAAACCTATAAATACCAAAGAGCCTGTGAAATCTCACCTCACCCCTAGAAATTTTGAGCGACTTTGTGGGTTGCTCATTCTCTCCAGAGACGGCACCTGCTCCAAAAACAAGCTTGAAGGTAAACTGTTCACCTTGTACATGTTTTCTTCAGATTTTTCTTGTTTGGATACTGTGTAATCTCGTTCTAGGGTTAGGGTTTTCTAGTCTAGGATTTATCAGGATTTGAAACCCTATTGTTGAATATGGGTTTGGGTTTATGATTTCGTGCTTTGTTGAATATGCATGTGGGTTTACGACTTGCTGTTGGATGTCGAAATCTATCCAAAAAAAAATCTGTGGGTTGTTGAATTAATTTTTTCACCTTGTACTTGCTTTTGATTGTAAAAAATACCAACTGGAATCCACAAAGATGATTTTGGGGTCCATTGACTGTGGGGTTCATTATGTGTTTGGTTATTATGTTTTTAGCATCCGTTGATTTTTTGTCAAATAAGGGTGAGATAGCTTTCGATCAAAATGTCAATGTAACTAGGGCGATACTTGACTGGTCTGTTGTTCAATTTCTTTTGTTCAATTTGTCTTATTTGCAATCCTATGCATGTAGTTCAGTTTTTATTATGTGCATTGATTCATTGTATAATTATGATGTATCATCTAAAAGATCATAAATGGGAGATTCACAACAAGAAAAGGGAAAAGGAAACTATAATCAATGGTCCGTGGAAGAGAGCAGCATGTTGTTGCAACTACTTGTTGAGGCCGTAAAAAATGGATGGCGTGATGCTAATGGCATAATAAACAAGCAGACTATATAAGCCAAAATTGTTCCTGTGCTCAATGAAAAACTTGGGTGTCAAAACTTGGGTGTCAAAAAACTCAAGATCATGTTAAGAAACCGTGTGAAAACATTGAGGGGTCGATATCAATCAATATGTCAACTTTTTAGGCATAGTTCGGGATTTGGTTGGGACCCCATCACAAAGAAGTTCACGGCTAGTGATGAAGTATGGGAAGGCTTCCTTAGGGTGAGTTCTTTTTCTTATCGAATGTATTATTTACATGATGATCTTTCATTTTTATTGATTTTGTATTTTAACATTTATTATGTTTTTCTTTTTTGCTAGTCCCACCCAAAGAGTCAAGGTATTCGCAAAGAGACATTTACGGACTATGAAGATTTGATGACTGTATTTGGCGATGGAACAGCTAAAGGAAATAACTCAATTGGATTGGGTGATGGTACTGATGCCACAACATATACAGTCGAAGAAAGTAGGCCAATCAGAGTAAACGAATTTCCTTCACCTGATGAGAGCTTTGAGCAACTTGATCCATTATTTCAAAATCCATCATATGCATCATCTTTCCTAGATGCAAATTTGGAGGGTTCCGCTCCAACACCCGTACAAAAGCTACTTCCAAGGAAAAGATCTCGACCTGAGTCTGAGCTAAAATCAAATGGGACCACCCCTCACATCGTTCTTATAGAAAAAGTTTCCCTTGGAATGGATTCGATTGCTGCAATTGCTACTGAAATTCAAGGAATTCATAGCATAATGGAGAAAAGAGAAAAAGCTAGAGAAAAAATGGAAAAGGAGAAAAAAGAAGAAGAGAAAAACAACAATCTTTGGGATGCTATCAAAGAGACTCCAAACTTGGATCCTCCCGTTCGTTACAAAGCAATTGCATTGGTTCAATAGTTGGGAATGAAAAAAGAGTTCTTGAAAATGACACCAGAAGAACACTCAGAGTGGATGAAATACAATATGAATTGAATGTGGTTATTTCGGATTTGTTACATCTTGGAATATTTACTTTGTTTGATAATATGTTGACTTTAGTTCCGTTATTTAAAATTTGATATTGGAGCATTTACATAGTTTGATAATATGTTGAGTTTGGTTCGGTAATTCATTTTGACCTTGGAATATGTACTTTGTTTAATAATATGTTGACTTTGGTTTGAATGACAGAAGAAGTAGTTTGCTTCCTTACCTTTGTTTCTTTTATGCTCTAATGGATACATTTTTTATTTTTTAGGTGATTCTCTCTCTCTCTCTCTGTATAATGTCTGAAAACATGTATGAAGAGGAAATGGAAAGAGAAGAAGTAGATGAAGAAATGGACGAAGAAAGAGAAGAAGAAGAAGAATATCACGTAGCCATTAAGTTACTATTGATGGCATTACAAGCAATAGTTCAAGTTCTAAATGCGTTAATGGTTATCATACATGATGATCATATTGAACGTCCATTGGCTCGACGACCAATTAGTAGAATTGGTTATAATTATATTCACAAGGTATTGAATGAGGATCCTTAAGAATTTCGAGTACTATATAGAATGTATCCTGATGTTTTCCTAAAGCTATGCAACATCATTACAGAGAAGACGCATTTGAAGGGTACAAGATTTATTTGTATTGAAGAAATGGTTGCTACATTTCTACTACCGTTGGTCAAAATTCTCGATATTGCCAAACTCGGGACACATTTCGGCGGTCACATTTTACAACAAGCAAAAATTTCAACATCGTTTTGAAAGCCTTGAACACAATTGCACCAGATTTGATGGTCAAACCTGGGTCCACGGTGCCAACTAAAATAAGAGAAAGTACAAGATTTTACCCTTATTTTAAGGTTAGTAAGTAATATTATTATAGTAATTGTTATTTCAATTTCATAAGCATATACATAGCTATGTATTACGTAAAAGGTTTTGCCCTTATTTTAAGTTTTTTAATTAACTCTAGTACATATTTTAGGATTCCATTGGAGCTATTGACGGAACACATATACCAGCCATGGTATCAGGACCCGAAGTAGCTAGCTATCGTGATCGTCATGGAAAAATAACACAAAATGTATTAGCTGCTTGTAACTTTGATTTGGAATTCCTATATGTTCTTAGCGGATGGGAGGGTTCAGCTCATGACTCCAAAGTGTTAGATGATGCTGTATCAAGGAAGAACGAACTTAAAATGCCAGAAGGTTCTTATTCATTCATTTATTTGTTGTTTTTTATTCTAGGAATTACTAGACATATAATTTTATTTGTTCTTATTTTAGGTAAATTTTTTCTAGTGGATTGTGGATTTGCCAATCGTCGTCAATTTTTAGCTCCGTTTCGAGGTGTTCGGTATCATCTCCAAGATTTTGCTGGTAACAATCGTGACCCTGTAAATGCAAATGAGTTGTTCAATCTTCGACATGCTTCCTTGAGAAATGTAGTGGAGATGATATTTGGTGTATTTAAATCTCGATTCACAATTTTTAAGTCAGCACCTCCATTTCCAATTAAAACACAAGCAGAGTTAGTGTTAGCTTGTGCAGGATTGCACAACTTTCTTCCCAAGGAGTGTCGTTCTGATGAATTTCCAATTGAATCTGAAGACGATGAATCTGATGATGAAGAAAATGACGATGAACCAGGTAATCAAACCCAAGAGCAACAACGACAGATTGCTAATGCATGGAGAGCTGGCATAGCTACAAATATGTGGACAGATGCTGTAAATGATAGGATTCAAAGATGAGAAATAGAGGGGATTATTTGATTTTATGGATTTTTTTTTAATTTCTATTTTTGATCCCTTGGATTTTAGGATGGTGGTAGAATAAAAGGCTTGAGGACCATTGGCATATGTTGAGTTTGAAAAATGTTTCTTTTTCGTGTTCAAAAGAACTGTTTGGTACATTCCATTAGTGTTTTTATTGATTGAGTTGAGCACAATTTGCAGGTTGGTCTCTGTTTCTTACATGTAAGTAAATTAGGAATGACTGCGAAGGTGGCCTAAAACCGGCAGAGCCATTCAAAGTAACCTTCAGCCAACCACCTTCTATGCACTTTGCAAAATTCTGTGAGACTTGAAGTGGGCAAATGCAATCACAAGCTTCCGCTTATTAAGTGAATTGTCAAGGAGATACCTTGCATATTCATTTACACTCACGAAACGAACCTTAACTTGATCTAAAAGCCATTTCTCCAATGTCCCCTTCCTAGAGCAAGACTGGATAGCTTCCTGTGTAGTTTTTGGCATAAAGCGAAGCCTACCGGCAGGTAGAAACTCGTTGTTCCAATCAATCAGCCATGAGACATGATCAGAATCACTGGATATCTAAATCTTACTATCACCATTCTGTATTGCACTTATGCGGCACAAAGATTCAGTTCCATAACCTGAACATTTTATTAGTGGTACTTTCTTGATGTTGGTCTGAAATTTTTCTCCCTGATATAGTTGCCTATAAATGGATTGGTCAAAATTCAAGAAGTACATCAGAGTTTTTCTTTTGCCTTCTGGGACAACCCAATTTTACCAATCAATTTGGCTTTTCTTGAAATAAAATAATCATTGTGATTTCATGGGAATTCAAACAAATCTCTTGAAATTCATGAATAAACTCTCTGAAATTCTCTAAGCCCATGCAAAAAATTCTCTCACAATCCATGTGAATTCTATGAAACTTTTAACTCAAAATCCCTGGAAAGTGATTTTTTTTCACTCAAATTCCCTCAAATTCCATGGAATTAGATTCTCTTAAACTCTCTCAAAATCTCAATTGAATACACCCCCTAAGTGCGCGTAAATCACTTTTCTTTTATGATAAGAAGGATTTAGGGGACGAGATCAATGCAGAATGCGGTAGAGCGTTCGAATTACCTTTGTGGCTTGCTTGAAAGAGTGAGACTTATAGTAAGCGATCAGGACTAAGGAGAAAAACTCCCCCACATCGTGTATTATATCCCCTCTCGTCTCACTCTTAGAGGCCAATTGCAACTATCAAAGATTGTGAGCAACACTAAAAATGTTCTCAAAGTGCCTCAACATCAAGGTATGCGAACTCCTTGATTTTCTGGGTAAACAAACATAAAGTACAAGCTTTTGGAAGGAAATGATTTAAAATAATACAATGAAAACTGCAAATTATCCAACAATGTGATCCTTTGAACAAAGGTCAATTTGTAGAAGGAATTTCTAATTGCTACAACAAATAGTAAATTCATCTTAACTTCTTCTAGGATTCATTCAACACATTTCACATAAAGAATAGAGGAGAGCAGGATAAAAATGAACTTTAATAACGAATCTCAAACTTCAAATAGAGTACGCCAGTCGACAGCTACCGATTCTTCCTAAGTCTCTGTTTTCTTCGTTGATTCCTTCACGTAATCCTCCTTCTCGTTCAACCACAGGTCGGCAAACTCGCAATGCTTCCAAGCCTCAAACCACGGTCCTCCACGAGTGTAGTGTACAGCCTTGGGTTGTGTTTGGGGATCATTTTCGACAACCTTGTTATGTCCCTCAAGAAAATTCCATACAAATGGGATCGACCCGATTTCATTGTCCTCGAGCCACTGAAACCTATGAAGAAAAGCACCCGTTTCCTTATTCACAACCTCGGGTGTCAAGACCTTGTTCTTGGGATGCCCACAGTTATACAACACCATGGAAGACCAGTTTCCTCGGATACACGGTTTGCACTGCTCCATCCATTTTTGTTGTCTCCTTCGGGGTATAATCATGTTGAACACACATTACAGCATACTTATCGTCAATCAAGTCTCGAAGCTCCTTAATGTCAGCAAGGTAAAGAAAATCACAATCCACAAACATTGCCCAGCCTTCGTAACTCGCCAAATGTGGCGTCAAGAACCGGGAAAAAGAGAACTCGGTGCTTTCAAATTGCCCTCGTTCACGCCAATAGAGGCCCTCCTTTCGCAGCTCTGATTGTTTGATTGGTATGATCTCAACAGGGATTGAAGACCGCTTCGAAATTGAGTGGCGACAGACCTCATATGCGAGATCTTCACGCGGATCATAACCCACAAAGATCTTAAAGGGGGTTTCCTTAATGTTCCCATTACAAGTCGCTGGATGAATCTTCCCATCACTCGAACCCATCTTAGCTGATACTGCAAAAGATTATTCAGACAATGTGTTTATAAATAAACAATGAAAATCGTTCTTTAATCCGACGTTGCAGGATTACAAGACAATTTTTCTAAAATCCAAGCAGGGAAATGACCGATCGTACAAATACCGAGTTTAACTAGTCGATTAATTGCTGAACAAGGAAAAGATTATTCCAATTGACACGAGCTGCCACCAAGGCATACACAGATCTGAATCGAAATTCACAGACAATAACAAAGGGGATGTTCTTATTTACTAGTTCGAGATCTAAGACATCACAAACAACAAGAACACTAGTATGTTGGTAAGACCACTGTTTGGTTACCAAGAAAATGAAGGAAAATTGTGGATCTTTAACACTTTTTGCTGCAATGGGTGAATTATTCATTTCCAAAAATATGCAATTCTAGTTTATGAGTCTCAATTAGCAAAAATCCGGCATTTAATTCCTTAGTTTATCATCATTTTCACTTAAATTAAACCAAAAACAAAACAAACAAAAAAATGGGTTCTACGTAATATAAAAAAGTAAAACAAATGTGAGTTAATCAGCATAAATCCACGATGAAAGATATTCATACAAGAAATTCAGAAAACCCCATTTTTTTGGTTTTGGAGAAAATGCAGAAACATAAACACGGAAGCTAAATCGTAATCACCATAAACCCAGAAAACACACACAAAGTTGCAGAACTAGAGAGAGAAAGAGCAGTACCAAGAGAGTGGAATCGGCGCAGATCTTGCTGTAAATGCGGTGGTAGTGCTTGGTTTTCCTTTTCTTTTCCCTTCTTGAACTTTCCGGGAAATTTTATAAGCGAGGACTGGGATGAGATATTTTCAATTCAATGGCAGAGAACGAGAGAATTGAGCGAAGAAGCGACAATTGAGCGGCCGCGGAGTGGATGAAATCTGATTTGTGCGCATATATAGGGATGGAGATTACATCATATGAGAGAGAGAGAGAGAGAGAGAGAGAAAACGAGATCTAGGCCAGGCATTCCAAAATTAGTAATTTCTTCACGTCATTTATTAGGTTGACTATTTGACATCGACCTCGAAAATAATTTACATGCTACGAGTACAATATTACTGTAATATTTAGTAAAACCATTCTTGAATCGTTATTGTCGCATTCTGCATAATGATACAAAAACATATGAAAATTTGAGTCGTCATAATATGAACATTGAACGTCGTGATAAGAATGTATGTAAGTTGTTCTCCTCGGCCTGAAGGTCGCCATTATTTGGTGGGCGGGGTTACCGCGTATAACAGTTGGCAACTGTAAACCTTTTTCTTAAAAAGTGTATTTTGATGGGTTTCGTACATAGTTACAAACAAAACTATTTGCTAGCAGAAAGAAGCCCATGGTGTCATTGCCCATTGCCTACTATACCGTGGTGGCCCGCCCACAATCTTGAGTGACCTAGTTACCATTTGTGCAAATGACGCGGTATTGCAGTGGCAAAAAAATAACTACGTTTATACATTTGTGCGGATTTCATATCTACCGATTCTTCTTTTCCAAAACAACTAACTATTTATTTAATTCATTAATGTTCGCTCTATTAATTAGATGGTGCTATGCACACACTCATTTTTACCTTACACACAATCTTTGTTAATTTATGTCATTGAATATTCTTTAGTTATTCAATCAAACGATTGAAAATTGAAATATGTGTGTGAGAAATAAAAAGAGGTATAGCACCACGCTATACTTAAATTAGGTTTTTTTTTTTTAACTTTAACGAAAAGCTCCCGGTACTGTTCACTTTAACGAAAAGCTCCCGGTACTGTTCACTTTAACGAAAAACCACATTTTTACATTAAAAAGTCAATCCTGATACTATTCACTTTACCCTTTATTTTATCTTTATCGTTAAAACTCTAAGTTTTTAAGTTTTTTTCGTTAATTTTCCTGTTTTTTTCATATTTTTTTCCTCAATTTTTCAAAATTTATTTAGTTGATCACAGTTTGTTTTTATGAAATGTAACTTAAAAATATTCAAATTCCGACAAAGCAAATCACATAATTAACTCGTTCCAACACGAACTAGCCATACTGCAACCTCTTCCTGCACACAACAAACACACTCCAATGTTTTCCTACACACGCACCAAACACGCTACACACACTCCTAGCACTTCACAAGGTTGTTTCAAAAGGCTTCAAAGTCCAAAGCCCTTCCAGAAGAGCACAAATATTTAAAGTATGATCACTAAATTTATTGGGGAAGAACTAGATGCAGTCTTTGATTCTGTTTCTGGCCATCACAGCGTCGAAACGCCCTTCATTCGGCAGCGTTTATTCCGGCTTTCGGCAAGTAATCACTGCATACTTGATTAGATCCTTCTTGAATCCTTGGATCATCAGTGGCATTACCAATGCTCCTCTGATTGTTTTTATTCCTGATCAATGCAAATCAAGAAACGCAATGATTCCGGGTTTTCGACCAAAAACAATCAACGAACACAATTATATAGATTGAAAAAATGAAAGCTGAGACTGTATCTGCAACTAGAGATAAACACGCAGAAATCAAGCAATGTAGATGTAGTACGAAATGTGCATCTTTTCCCACAAAAAAAAGTTTGGTATTGAAAGGTTTAGTTGCCGGGAAGAAACGCTGAGTTCATACCGGTGCGCAACAGCGATGTGAAACCCTTCCATGTCAACGCCGAGCGGATAACTGCAGGCCAAAATGGGGCAACATACGGGGACCAATCTTCCGCCTTGATGTCCTGCCATAAGAGACACCAAGATGGTAACTCAAAAAGACTTGACTTGGTCCAGCCAATATTTGAGCGGGAAGTGAATTCCGCAAGCCCTTTTTCTCCCCATGCACATGCTTGTTTATATTGATCTGCGAATCATTTCTCTATTTGAGCAAGTAATTTACCTCGAGCGAGTGGGACTCGAGTAATTTGAGATAATCAGCAGCAGAACACCAGGCTGGAAGATAGAAAGAACTGCATATCCTATCCAGAAGGCTTTTCTCATCTGGCTTCAAGGTTTCTTCAGAAGCACCAAGATCCCTATGGCACCATGTGACTATTATTATTGTTGCTCCTGGGGCAGCAACCCGAACCAACTCGTTCACAAACTGCACAGTTTTAAGAAGAGAGGAAGAGAATATTAAGACAAGTATTTATACAAAGAGTTTAACACAGGCTTTCTACGTTGCAATATTAAAGACATCGATATCGTATTTGTCTACATATCAACAACATTTCCACATTCAAAAAGTGCAGTTAACCACCAAAGTAGAAATTTTATACAAATCATGCCCTATTATCAATCAGTCCAGTCGAAAGAGGTATACCTTGGCTTTGTCAGGCATGTGCTCTCCACTCTCCATGGACCATACCAGATCAAATTCCCCATCAGGAAATGGTTGGTCCAGAGCATCTGCAACTTGATATGAAGCCTGCAAATGATGAACAAAAGTTCCCTTCATGTTACACCTCTACCCATCAACCAAAACTCACGTTGGAACCCGTTCACACAAGTGAATCGGGAAAAAATGCTTTCAGTTTGATGGTCACACCGTAACATCAATTCGAGTTTCGTAATACCGCTACACATAATTGATATTGTTATTCATAACCATACATAATGGTGTGATGGTTAAACTGAAGAATTTGTGGGCTGCGTGGATCCAAAATATAATTTACCCATTCTCCTAGACCCCATAGTGTAATGAAAGTGTGGTAATTTTCTGTTCAATCTTAATCCAAACGGTAGGTGATCATTTAGTTTTTGACATTGTACTTTCTCTTCTACCGTTAGATTATCAAACACTCATGTGACTTGTTTGTACCATACTTAGAGCTTTCGTATTTAGATCTCGTATAAATACTCAGGAGACTCAAATGTAATTATGTAATAAATGGTGGGACAAATATGTAATAAGTGAGAAACCCTTATTCTATAAAAAAGTCTCCTCACCCTCACAAACCTCAAGCTCATCCTCACATACTGAGCTCTAACCCTCACATCTCATCCTCACCACAGTCCTGCTCTCAAACTCTCTATTTCTCTAGGGGACTCCTCCTCATCCTTGTAACTCATACATACAGTTAGAGAGAAATACAATCAACATTAATGTGGACGTAGCCCAAATATTGGGGTGAACCATGATACATCTTATGTTCTTTACTTTCTTGCAGATTCACGGTCGAATTTACGTTGTTCAAAGACCTCTCGATTTTGTGCACCAACATGACTCATCCACCGATTTTTTTTTTCGGACAGTAGGGTTTTGGAGACCGGAACTCTGATAAATGAATAGGTTTTGCTTTGGGGACTACCTTTGGAAAAGCGAAAAGTGTTTTTGACAACCAAACGTATTTCTGACGTTACAAAAGTGCTTCCAATTGCTTTTTCATAAAAGACTACAAAGTGTTTCTCATGAAGAAATCTTCTAACAGAAGTACTCATGAACAAAAGTGCTTTCCTACAAAAACAGCCTCAGACGAGCATTTAATCCAGTTAACCGGATTCTGGCTTAGCCTACAGATAAGATGGGATTACCTGGTTGGCCAACCCTTGAGCAGCAGCAAGAGCATTGGCCCTTTCAGCCTGCACAGGGCTGAGGGTGATGCCTTTTGCATTGGCGCCATATTTACTGGCCAGATATCTGGAGCTCCCTCCGATCCCACATCCCACATCCACCAAATTCTTGGGAATTCTAATTGGGGGCTCCTCTGCAAAAACCAATCTCAAATTTAAATTATAATATTACCCCAAAGTTATCATTAATTTATGAAATCACCCAATTACAGATTAAAAAAGAGAGACCAGAAATGCCGGCGAATCGGAGGACCTCGTCGATCATGCGAATCTGGGCGGCGCGATGGTCAGGAATGGAGACCGAAACGTCGGCGTTCGGGTCGTAGTAGCCGTGGTGCATGTGGTCGCCCCAGATGTTCTCCCACAAGCCAGATGACTCGTCGTAAAGCTCAGCAATCCCCTTCTTCAACTCCACTACATCTACATCCATTGCCGCTGTCTCCGCCACCGCGTTCAGTCTCCTAAACAGTCTGTTCCTGGAGCTCGCTCCGGCCACGACTGTACTCGCACAGCTGAGACTGTGGCACCTGCGAGGCAGCACTGCTCTACCAGCAGAGTGAGTGAGTGACTGAATGAGAGAGTATGAGTGCTTTGGAGAGTCGGTGGCTCCTGAAAAACAATACTGCATGCGTATGATTCGTGTCAGATAACACTGTAATATGACACCCATAACGAAACCGTCGAGACGTATTATTTGGTGGGGTTCGATTCGGTTCAAAATGCTTGGTTTAATATACGTAAGGTTTTTGAAGTTGTTGGGATCATTGACAACCAATGACCCATGTTGGTTTCATGTTGTTTGTAAGAGCATCTTTAGGTATTTTATAGTAGTTTAAGAGAGTGTGTGATGTACATATATATAAGAATCATACACTTGAATTTAATTTGTATTAAACTATTGTTACGGAGTAGTGCTATCTACACATTTTTTTTTACTTTCTACACATTCCTCTCAATTTTCGACCTTTAGATCAAATGATATGAAGAAGATTAAATAACAGAACATGAGGTGAGTGAAAAGTAAAAATTAATGTGTGAATAACACTACCTTTGTCACAATGGTGTGAGTTTGATATGGATGAGTTTTATATATTAAATGTAGAACCCATCCATTTTTTATTTTTCTCTATTTTATGATTGGCTACCTATTTTCTCTCTTGCTATTTATTATATAGGTATAAAAATAAAATAAAAAATAAAAAATCACTCTCACAGCATTCAAATTTTTTGGCCTCCTGTATGAGTTTGATTTCTATAATTGGTATCACATTCAGTTTTCAGTCTAGGCCTTAATAGAGATGTCAAATATGAATTGTCAAAAATTTAATTTAAGAAGAATGTGGCCCTTGAAGTTGATGTCAAATTTTATTTATTTATTTAAGAGATATGTTAAATTATTGTTTATTTTACATTGGGCCACAGTGATACAGTTTTAAAGGAGAAAAAAGTTTAAATAGTTTAAAAGTTGTACCTTATTGGTGATTATGGCACCTCACACATTAAATAATGAAATTGACTCCATTTTACATTTTTATTTGTTGTAAAAAAGACTCTTAAAAATAGTCAAATGACTCAATTGTCGTGTAAATTATGGCATCTCCTTGAAGAAAACTTTGATGTCATTTAGTCATAATTGGCGTACCTTAAACAGTCTTTTCCTTACCTAATTGCACAATACATCTAAAAAAATGTCAAAGAGAATTTCCTTGGACATAATTAAAGCAGTCATTGAAAGCTGACTGAAACACTGGAAATGGGGCAAGTAGCTCTTTACCACAATGATGGAGAGGAGTATTGCCCTTGCACAACGGCGTGAGTACGAACCCCGTCAGCTCCCTAAAGAGTCGGAAAAAAAATGGAAACAGGGACTACCCGAGCTAATGGTAAGGCAAGAACACTTTCCGGCCTAGTCCCATAAATTGATTATAACGATATCGTGGAAATATTGCATGGACCCATGGAGTTTCCTATTCCTCAACCAATTCGGTTGTGTTAGACCTGAGATTGACCTAACATTTAGTTATATGCTGGCGAGAGATGCTCTAACATAATCAAACTAATGACATTGTTCGTTTCTTATATGTAATGAGTTATTCCTCTTTTGATGACAGCGTGGTACCATTTCATCACATCCTTAAATAACCTCATGCTTAGCCAACCCATAAGTCCTTATGGAGTGTATGATGATCGTAATAAATTATCACATAACTATTTGATTTTTAATTTTAATTTTGTACAAATATAAGAAAAATACGTTAAAGAAATGATGAATGAAGTGTTGCAGTAAAGATGTGAATGTGTCATTTAGTACTACGGTCTAGTGATATTCCTCTTCACTTGTAAGTGATAGGTTTTAGGTTCGATTCTCGCCAAAGATGAATTTGAACATTATTGTTAACCCCATTGTGTGACTTAGCTCATTGTGAGGCTCTTGGTTATGGAATAATTGTGATTACTTATCCTTCTCCCTCACCTTCATCTCTCTTGTTTTGATCTTCCAAGTTCGTCTTGAGTTAGAAAATGGTCCATTGAAACACCATTTGGCATAAAGAAAGCACAATAACAAATAAAGTGTGGTATTATTACACCTGCCATAAAGTTACGCTTGACATTCTGCCACCTAAGTTGACCTCACACTTCCGGCCCTTGGTTTGTGCATGAATATGGCTGGTCACATTCAACACAATTTCTCTTGGCTCACCTCAAATTGTCTCGGCCACCGTGTGCTCCCATTTATCCCATCTTGATCTTTTGAGAACGGTTCGACCAATAGCATGCATGTTATGACCCGAAAAATGGTGGGCTATGTCCCAAATTTCATTTTTTTTACGTAAAAATTCTAATTTTTTTTGTTTATGAATTTAAATAAGGGAATTAATGTATTTTAGCTTATAAATTATGACTTTTACTAAAATTTCATGTTTATTTTCTTCATCCAAACATAGTGTAAAGGTTAAGTAGTTTATCAAACGAGGCCTTAATATTGATTTTCTTTTATAATATTTCTTTTTCTAGTCAATTGTACTGATTTTTTTTAATAATCGATATTATCTACATTAAGGGGAGAGGGTGAGTTTAGTCTCATAATGGGCTAACAATAATGTAGTAGAATTGAACCTAAGACCTCTCACTTACCAGTAAAAAAAAATATCACTTGAACGTAGTACTAAGTAACAATTGTATTGAATTTTAAGTTGCAAATGCACCCTTGTGGCTTATAAATGAAATTGTAACTCTTGTGTTTCTTCAGTTAACTAACATTTTTTTGTTGAAAATTAGGTGAAAAAACCTTGTTTCCTCACACTTTATAGATAATAAATTATTAAAAAACTCTGTTTGTAAATGTTTTATGATTATTGAGGAAATATTTTCAAACAATTTTTAAATGGTAATTTCTTTTCTAAGTACATCGATATTTTACAATAAGGAGAGGGAGAGTTCGGCTAAATCACATAATGAGCAGCCTTTGTATCGAATTCACCATTCACGAGATTCGAACCTAAGATCTCTCACTTTTAAGTGAAGAAGAATACCACCAAACCATATTACTGAATGACTTAAACGATAATTTTTGAAATAAATGATATATTATTCTTCTAGCAGAAACGCTTATAACAAAAACGTTTATCAAAGAAAGGGACTTGTATTGTTCATTTCCTAATGGGCTCTAGAAAATCAAATCAAAATTCCTCCTTTAGAGCAAGTCCACCCATGGTTTTTAGCTATGGCTAGATCCCAGATCCAATCCAACATTCACCTCTATCCATTTCTTCTAGACATGGCTGATGGAGCCTTGGAAGTTGGAAGCAGCCATGTCGACTCTAGTCCAAGCCTAATTTCATGGCAGTTACTAGTCACAATTGATTGAGAGTAGCATAATTATAACAATATATTTTAAATTAATCTCGTTAAATAATTGGTAAATAGTAACTATCATTGGTGGAGAGTTGTAAAGAAAAGCCAAAGACAATTTACTATTTAAGTGGATGGTATGGGTCACAAGTTCACTCCAAGACCCAAATCCACCAAATGAGTGGAAATGCTCTTAAAATCCAATATGTGGCCTCCTTTGAGCTCATTTGTTTCTATAAATAAAAAAGTCCAATAAAATGAGGCAAGTCTTTAATAATTCGGACTACTTGACAATCTGACTTTATATTTATTAAGAATAATGCTCGGTAGATCAATTTTTTAGATTATATTTGCAAATCTTGTAGTGTAACCAATATAAAATAAACACGTTAATCAACAATTAAAGAACAATCCAATTATCAACAACCACATAATATGGTTTAAATAAATAATCTTCCTAGCAATATCCATCTATTAGATTGGCAAAGTAAGCAAAAATCATACTTTCTCAACTTAATTCTGAGCGTTCATTTTCTGTACCACTAAGTCCGAAGTATTGTAAAATTGTTAAAATGAGATAAAGAGAAAATTGTAGCAATGGTCTTTCAACTTTAATCAAATTGGAGCAATGGTTCCTAAACTAAAAATTCACCATTGGTCCCTCAACTCATCAAAATATATAGTTATGGTCATTTTCGTTAACTTCATTAGAATGTTGTCAAAATAAGTTACGTTGGAAAGACCATTGCTATAATTGGGGTCCCTCAACTCATCAAAAGTTATAGATATGGTTCTTTTTGTTACTTTCATTATAATTTTGTCAAAATGAGTTATATTGGAATGACTATTGCTACAATTGGGTTAAAGTTGAGAGATCATTTAGTTTAAAGTTGAAGGACCAATGATAATGAATTTTTAGTTAAGGGACTATAGCCGCACGTTTTGAAGAGTTGAGAGACCAATGATAATAAATTTTTAGTTGATGGACCATTGCTCTAATTGACTTATAGTTAATAGATCATTACTACAAATTTCAGTGAGATAAAAACCCAAGTAACAACTAACAAGCATTGACAGCAAGGAGCAGAGCTCAGCTAGTTGAGCAGCTCTTATTCTCGAGTCATGGATCTGGGTCATCTTCTCCACCTCCTAATTCCCTCATGGAACTCTGTAAGCACTCCTCTATTAATCCCATCACCACACTTCCTTTAATCCCCCTTACGCTAATTAATTAATTAATTGGTCAATTTCTTAATCCATAATATTCAGGTTGCTATTCTGGCATTGTTCTTCACTTACTTGGCCATTGCTGGATCGATACTGCCCGGAAAACTTGTCCCCGGAGCCACTTTACCGGACGGCTCTCGGCTTCATTATCGATGCAATAGTGTGCTTTTTGAATGCATTCTTACTCATGCACATTACCTGTTTGTGTAAATGTTTGTGTGAGCATGTCTGATTTTGTGTGGAGAGTATGATATAGTTTGACTTTGTTTGATTTGTCAGGTCTGCTATCACTTCTGGTGCTGGTTGGGCTTCTTGGGGTTGGCGCTAAGATGGATATCGTGTTGCTTAATGTATGTGATCACTCCTACTTCAATGTGGTTTTTTCGGATTGTTAATTTTGATGTACTGACTATTTTTGTGTTGATGGTGTGGCAATTTCATTTTTGTTCTTGAGAGTTTTACTTAATGGCTTGTTCATATTTACATCCTGCCTCCAATTTTGTGTTCAAATACGTTGCGAGATTACACATGCATTTGATCATGTTGTGGAATTGAAGACGATTT